ACTCTCTCAACTTTGGGTATTTCTATATTAGCAAATTTGATAATGCACGTAACACGGTGTCATTTTGGATGCTTCACTTTTTGTTCTGCCTTACTTTCCCACAGGCATGTTTCAGGGGCAGATCTGTTTGTGTGTGCCAGTTACATTTATAACCATTACTGTGACTGCAAGGATCAGGACTACTACCTGTCAGGAGACAAGATCAATGACGTCCTGTGTTTACCTGTGGAGACTGTGGGCCGCATTGTGCCCATCCTGGCCTGCCAGGACAGAGTACTTAGAGTATTGCAGGTAGTCCGAAACACTCTCTAGTCATGTTGGCCACCTTTTGTCTCTACTTTATTACCCAATTATACTTTAGCTATCACTGGTAGCCGTGATATCCTTTACTTGGTGGCCATATCCAATTCATGATGCTCAAGTCCACAGTCATCCTACATTTTGTGCTCCATCAGGGCTCCGACCTTCAGTACGACGTAGAAGTTCCCGGACCTCCAACTGTTCTGGAACTTCTCAACAGAGATGGCGGTATGTGCTAAAAATCTGCTCACTCATTTTAATGTGAAAGAATGTATTGTTTTGAGTCTGGATATTTGATGCATACAATCTTGATCTTCAGGAAAGGGTGGTGAGGAAGTTGTTTATGGAACAGCTGATGGGAAACTAGGTCTTGTGCAGATTACCAAATCTGGACCCATTACTAGTTGGGAACTGGATAATGAGAAGAAAAAAGGAGGTGGGAATTAGATAGTGAGGGGTTATTTGAAATTAAAAATTGAAGCCATGCTAATTTGCATTGGTGTTTTGGTGTTTTCAAGGTGTGCTTTGTATTGATACTTTTGACATTGTTGGTGATGGTGTGAAGGACATTCTGGTGGGAAGGGATGATGGGACTGTGGAGGTCTATGGGTTGGACAGTTCAAATGAGCCAGTGCTGCGCTTTGAGAATGTGAGTGTCACATTTGAATGATAAGCGATATATGGAACACCCTCATTTTGTCTCAAATTAAATTCTGCTGCACTACAGTTGTGGTAATTGTCTTTCCCTGTTTACAAGGTTTTGTCTGAGAGTGTCACATCAATCCAGGGTGGCTGCGTCGGAAAGGATATGTATGATGAAGTTCTTACAGCAACTTACACAGGTTAGCTGGGGCTGTTTGATAAAAGCATTTTACTATGTATTTTCTAAGAACAATACTGTGTGGGTGATGTTAGTATATCATTCACCTGTGTTGACTGAGAGGTCATGTGACTGGTTTCCAGGATGGGTGTCAGGACTCACCACAGAGCCTCAGCAGATGGTTGCAGGCCCGGGGGATGAGATCAAGATGAGCCGGGAGACCCAGGGGAAGGTGGCTACACTCAGGTACTACACATCCGGTTGTTTCCTGCCATGATGATGAGTCTAAAACAGCAAAAATCTGTTTACCAAACTGACATAGATTTTGAAACACCTTCTGACATGCCTTGTTTGGTAATGCATGTGTTTGTACAGGGCAGAGTTAGAGCAGTTGCAGGTGAAAGTGTTGCAGGGCAGAGAAAAATACCAGCAGAGCTCTCAGTCCAGCACGGCAGTGTCCGCTGTGCCAGTCTTTAGCATCAATGACAAATTCACATTGTGCCAGGATGATGCCAGCTACAGCCTCACACTAGAGGTGCAGACCGCCATTGACAACTTGCTGCTACAGGTGAGAGCAATACACTAATTTATCTTGCTTTTATTTATATAAACTACTGTTCAAAAGTTTGGGGTTGGTAAGATTGTTTTAGTGTTTTTGAAAGAAGTCTCTTATGCTCATAAAGCCTGTATTTCTTTGATCAAAAATATAGTAAAGTCAGTAATATTGTGAATTATTACTACAATTTGAAAATAACTCTTTCCATTTGAATATATTTGAACATTTTTATAATTTATACATTTATTTCTGTGATGGCAAAGCTGTGTTTTTAGCAGCCATTACTCCAGTCTTCAGTGTCACACGATCCTTCAGAAATCAGTCGAATATGCTGATTTTGTGCTCAATAAATCAGTCAGCATTGAACTGGAAGTCAGAACTGGAACTATGCATTTTAATTAGTTGTATTTTAGATCTTCGGTAATTCAACATCATTTTTACATGTCTTGTAATTTCAGCATTGTGAAGTTTCCTTACATTCACTTACATGTGTTTTTGTTTCCGACAGAGTGATGTTCCCATTGACCTGTTGGATGTTGATAAGAATTCAGCAGTGGTCAGCTTCAGCGAATGTGATTCAGAGGTAAAGCACCTGTGTGCCACATCATTAAGCTTACTTAATGACCACATCACATGTGTTTGCAAAACTGTCTTTGTTTGTTCATCTAACCCCACAGTCAAACGGGAACTTCCTCCTCGCCACCTACAGGTGCCAAGCAAATACCACTAGGCTGGAACTGAAGGTGTCTACTTCTTTAGATAATTTTCAATATAATAATGTATATTGTATTTTTTCTTATATTGCAAGGTAGGCAATATATCTGAGCATTTGTCCTGATTTTTCTCTAAGGTGAGGTCTATAGAGGGTCAGTATGGCACCCTTCAGGCTTACGTGACGCCAAGGCTTCAGCCCAAAACCTGCCAGGTTCGACAATACCAGATCAAACCCCTTTCCCTCCACCAGAGGACACACGCAATTGATCAGGAACGGTGAGCTTAGAGACACACAATGGTTTATCACACAATTCTTATCATGCATTTATTCTGCCAGCTAAACATTACTGTTATTCTCTCTTCATGACTAGGCCCATGAACACCTTGAGACTGACAGGACAGTTCAGTTTTGCAGAGATCCATTCCTGGGTTGTTTTCTGTCTGCCTGAGGTCCCAGAGAAAACCCCAGCAGGAGACAACATCACATTCTACTTTCAGAACACTTTCTTGGGCACACATCTAGAAGCCACCTATTGGTGAGGCCTACCTGTTCAATATCCAAATATGTTTATTTATGAAATGTAAATGTACTATTTTTAAGTACTATTTTTCTTCATGTGCATATGATTGTTTTGAAAAAAGAGCTGATTATGATTTCAAATATATTTATTACAGTTGGACAAAGATCCTACTAGATGATTGCATTATTAGAGGAAGTTTTCAGTAATCAGTCTTTATACATTTTTGTAATGGGTTCCAGTAAAGGTGAGGCAAACTTCAAATCAGACAACATTTCTACCATATCCATACTGAAGGATGTTTTGTCCAAAGAGGCCACGAAGCGAAAAATCAATCTGAATATATCCTACGGTGAGTTCACAAACTGATCTATTAAATGGTTCAACTGAGACGATGTTAATATCAGATTACAGTTATCTCAATTCTTTGTGCATCACATATAATTAATATGTGTTTTTTGTGTTGGTTGTTATGTTGGTTTCAGAGGTGAATGAGGACTCTGTGAGCCATACTCTTCAAATGATTCATCCCAAACTAGAGTATCAGCTGATTTTGGCCAAAAAAGTTCAGCTTATTGATGCGTTAAAGGTAAAACATAAAGACTAAAAAAGCCCTGCTAAAAAAAACAAGCCTACTGAGAGTGTGTGTGTGTGTGTGTGTGTATGTGTGTGTATATTGTATGCAGGAGCTGCAGGTGCATGAGGGGAATGCAGATTTTCTGATTCCAGAGTATCGCAGTATACTGGATGAATCTGCCCAGCTCTTAGAAGAATATAAGAAACAGCCAGCTCACTTAGAAAGATTGTATGGTGAGTGAATTCAGATGAGCAAGGGAGATGATATTTTACAATATGTTATTTGAAATTTTACATGTTAAATTATTCACATGTATTGTAGATTTCTATAAGATGTTTAATGTATAATGTTTTTCTCACAACCCCTGTATATTCAGATGATGTCTGCACAAGAAATAATGACACATCTATGGGTAAACAAACCATTTTGTGTTTTCTTACAGGTATGATCACTGATCTGTTCATCGACAAGTTCAAATTTAAAGGACAAAATGTCAAAACAAAAGTTTCACAGCTGCTTGCAATTTTGAACAACTATGAACTTGATTCATTGATGGAATTTTTCAGTGAAGCTTAATGAAATGTAAAATTAAAGCACTTTTTAGGAATGTGTTTTGTGAATTTTGTTTTTTGCAATAAACATTTGGTATTCTATAGGGATCAAGCTGATTGTACCATTACAGAATCAAATTCAAATGTTCAATGTAATAAACATAAAAACTATTTGTCACTGCAGTTGTTTTTTTTTAAACTCATCCATTGTCTAGTTGCATTTCTACAGAAATAAAACAACAAGTCATGAAAAATGTGTCTGTTTTGGATGTAAAATTAAAGCACTTTTTAGGAATGTGTTTTGTGAATTTTGTTTTTTTCAATAAACATTTGGTATTCTATAGGGATCAAGCTGATTGTACCATTACAGAATCAAATTCAAATGTTCAATGTAATAAACATAAAAACTATTTGTCACTGCAGTTGTTTTTTTTTAAACTCATCCATTGTCTAGTTGCATTTCTACAGAAATAAAACAACAAGTCATGAAAAATGTGTCTGTTTTGTTTGTCTTTCAGTCCAGATACAAACTTTCAGTTATTCATATTTTAATATTTAGCTTTATTTAGGGGGGAAAAACAATGTTTGGTTTGATGGTTATGACAGCAGTATTAGAGACAGTGATTATTTGCTATACAAATTAGAAATTGTGAACATAAGTACCAAAAACATAGAAAATATTATTTATATTCAAAATGATTATAGTTGTTTATGTTGTTTATTTTCAGTATTTTTTAAGTACTGCTTGGTCAGAACATTACCCCAAATGTAAGATTTACCCCTGTATATTTATATACTTGTAATTCTTGAGTTTGTATATTATGTATAAACTTGACATCATGAGCTTAAATTTTACACTGTGCTCAAACAGTTTCAAAATTCCTTTGAGCCAATGAAAGTAACTTTCAACGGCTCGCTTAATAAAAGCAGAATCGCAGTTTGTACTTTCCAGGCTTCCGTATAATCAGTGACGTTTGGATTTGCTGCATTCTGATTGGCCCGTTTCAATAGTCGCGGGCTACTTGAACTGAGACAGCCACAATATCAAGTCAGGCAGCAGCAATAAATAAAATAAAAAAAAGCAACAAGGCGCCGTTCGACTTCATAGTAACCTCTTTTGTGAGCTCTCCGTGCCGTGTTGAGGGTTTTCCACACCGCCATGGCGCGATTTCTGTAGGATAGTATTGTTGCATGATTTATTTTTGAATCTCGGTTTTGTAAAACGCCGCTGGCGACTGTTTATATCGTGTTTTTGTCCGGATTTCAACAGCTCGTTTCTACCAGTTTCCCTGGTTAGTCTGCTTATCCACGCTTGATTGGTTATTCACGTGTGTGGTGTTTGATCAAACGTGTTAAAACATCAAACCCTGGTGTTTAAATGCTTTCAACCATCGATCCATCTCGCAGGGCGACTGGAGGTGATCTGCTGCTGTAAGGATGTCATCTGTCGGTCAAACACAAGGAAGCGCGGTTCAAGATTCGGGAGCAGATATTCACAACCAAGAAAACATGCTTTCACGGCTACGCGGCGCAGCAAAGAACCGAATTGAAAACCGGGAAAATGTCAACCCTAAACCAGGCAACAGGACTGTTCTGGGCGCCCTGGAGAACAATCAGCGACGGCAGCCCGTTCTGCGCGGCGCTAAACAGGTTAGAGCACGCATGGCTCACGAATATCAAATATGCTTCGATTATAGACTTATTTCATCAGCTTAATTGTAGCACGTATGAGTATTTAGTTTAATAATCAGTGTGTTTTGCTTTAACAATTGCTAACTTTTAACATTGACTGACTGACGTTAGATGAACTGAACGTTGCTTTAGTTGAACCAGTCAAAGTGCTCGCAGGCTTTGTTGTCCCTTTGAATCACGAATCTAAATCTCGTAACCTTTTGTCTACCCTTTTGGGTCAAACTGCATTTATGGCGCCACAGGTTAAAATGAAATGCAGTGTTAAATGTCCGCACTCATTCCCTCGCAATGCGCAGACCGCCATTTTACAAACCCATTCACTGCTACCATAGGAAACCGGGTCGGGTGGTTAAAGGGGTAGTTCACCAAAAACGAGTTCATATTCTGTGGACCACAAAAGATGTTCTGCCAAATATTTGTGACCTGAGGCTGTCATTCTGCCTAACATTTGTTTCCATGTGAGAATTAATTACGTTTTGGTACATTTCCATTTCTGGCCAGCTGTCCCTTTAATACTGCAACAGGTGCATATCCACAGTTTCTAGTGCAAAGTGTAAGTTCACCTTTTTGTTCAAAATCTGGGTACAGTTTTTCTGGAGTGGGGTTACATTTACGCCAACATGAGTCACCACACCATGAAAATTTGGATTAAAAACAGCAAGTTTTTTAGATGAACTGAACGTTGCTTTAGTTGAACCAGTCAAAGTGCTCGCAGGCTTTGTTGTCCCTTTGAATCACGAATCTAAATCTCGTAACCTTTTGTCTACCCTTTTGGGTCAAACTGCATTTATGGCGCCACAGGTTAAAATGAAATGCAGTGTTAAATGTCCGCACTCAAACCCTCGCAATGCGCAGACCGCCATTTTACAAACCCATTCACTGCTACCATAGGAAACCGGGTCGGGTGGTTAAAGGGGTAGTTCACCAAAAACGAGTTCATATTCTGTGGACCACAAAAGATGTTCTGCCAAATATTTGTGACCTGAGGCTGTCATTCTGCCTAACATTTGTTTCCATGTGAGAATTAATTACGTTTTGGTACATTTCCATTTCTGGCCAGCTGTCCCTTTAATACTGCAACAGGTGCATATCCACAGTTTCTAGTGCAAAGTGTAAGTTCACCTTTTTGTTCAAAATCTGGGTACAGTTTTTCTGGAGTGGGGTTACATTTACGCCAACATGAGTCACCACACCATGAAAATTTGGATTAAAAACAGCAAGTTTTTAACATGCCGCTCACACCAAAGATCAGATCCTTTTTTTTATTTTTATTGAATCTTAATCTATTTCAACTTTAATTATTATTTACTTTAAACAAACATGTTAAAAAGGCACTTGTGTGCTTTCCTGAAGCTCAAACAGTTCTCATGACAGCAAGATTTTGGGTTAAATTCCCAGTGAAATAAACATGCATGGACTGAACTTGCTCTTTCAGTGAAGTTTCTTCAGAGAACGCATGTGATGAAAGCATAAATATAACTACCCTCTGAGTATAGTTGAGAAGCTAACAAACTATTTCAGGTCTGTGCAGCTGCCTTTAATAATTGTCAAACTGACTCCCATACATCAGATTTGTATTATAAATTTGTATGCATATTCCACATCACAGTGTTAGAGAGATACTTCGCATATGTCTTTGTGACCTTAAATCGGTCAATTTCAATAAAAAAATAAATAAAAAAAAAACAGTATTTCCAACCACTCAAAGTTGAAATGGGTCAAATTGACCTGCTGCTGCAAAAAGGGCCTGCAATTACCGATGTAGTGTATAGGACTGTTTTCCCCAGCACTCTAATCCAGTTTTCGGTTTACAGGTCTCTGGGCCCCAAATAATTGCATGCAAATCTGAAGAACATGGCGGTTTTGGAGAGAAGCCCTCCACAAGGCCACCTGCTTTTCAGATCCATGTGGATGAGCCTGATGGTGCATGCTCTAAGAAACCATCTACCAAAAGAGCAACCATGGATTGCTCTCCTCTAACACTAAATCCCACCGTGACCCGCCTAAGGCAGCCCCTCGCCACTATCGATCTGCCCGTGGAAGCCAGTTTTGGTACGAGAAACAACTTCAGTTAAATGCAATGCTTATACTGTCTTCTGTTGTACTTTATAGAAAACCCGAAATACAACTTGTACAACTCTTTCTAATACATAGATTCTCCTATGGATATGTCGATAATTGAGAGTGAGGAGAGGTTCACAAATGTAAATGAGGTCTCAGATTATGCGGCAGAAATACACGCACACTTGCGGGAAATGGAGGTGAGGATGTGTTAAGTTCTCCTTTTTAAGCTCCTCTTTTAATGATGCATGTTCTCTACTTCATGGCTCAATGTTTATGGTTGTTGTGGGTGGGGGTGTTTTTGTTATTTATTTTAATAAATCATGCAGGTCAAGTCAAAACCAAAAGCAAGTTACATGAAGAAACAGCCCGACATCACAAACAGCATGCGAGCCATTCTGGTGGACTGGTTGGTGGAGGTGGGAGAAGAGTACAAGCTCCAGAATGAGACCCTCTACCTGGCTGTGAACTACATCGATCGCTTTTTGTCTTCCATGTCTGTCCTGAGAGGAAAACTACAGCTGGTGGGCACAGCTGCTATGCTTTTGGCTTCGTAAGTATCTTTGCATTAAAGCCTCAGACTGCACAACCCCCCCCCCCCCCACCCCC